AGTCCATTTTGAAATTTTTGAAAACGCGTTCTTTTTGGCATTTTGTAAAAATATTCCTCAAAATCATTTTCTGGAAAACACGTTCACATGGATTTCTTCTTTTCCATTCTCCAGCCAGAAAATGCCCCACGCCCCCACCAGCGCCACAACCTTCTACCTCACTAACCGACCAGCACCCACCACCTAGACCACCAGATCCCAGTATCATTCGAACCCCCCGACCTCCCTCTACAACGTCCGTAGATTATTTGGTCGAAAATCAGTCGAAATCAGCCAAAACAACAGCGCTACAACTCACTGTTTCGGCCTATAAATACCGTCGTCGGCCACCTTTCCGATCAAGGACCACCACCAATCCACTCCTCTCAACAAGGCACATCCAATACTACCATGGGTCATCTTCGATTATCTCCAAAATGGCTGATCTTATGGAAGTTGCCTTCGATTATCTCCAGAATTGATTGATTTTATGGAAGCCGTCGATGAGTTTTGAAGCCATGGTTGGAGTCGTCTGGGGGTGGGCAATCGACCGGTGGTGGTGCGTGACCTTGGGTGTTGCCGGATGTTGAGATTCTGACAGAAGCATTTTGTGCTGAATCAGTTTTTGTGAATTTTTTTTTATCGATTTTGGTATATGATTAGATTGTTGTTTGTGTGGTAATTGAAGAGGTGATTGAGGGCTTCACAATGGTATATTAATCCGGTCGTTTTGAAGGAGGTTGCCGGGAGTTTAGAGGGTTGGAAAGTGGCGGCGGAGTGTGGCTTGGCAGAAGATGGGGGGACATTTTGCCTGTTTCCCATGTTTTCCACTAGCTGAATATTTTGCGAAGAAAACGTCCAAAACGGCATTTTGGTCGTTTCGCGTTTTCTTTACAATTTTTTTTGTGGTTTCGAAAATCCGTTTTCGAAAATGAGAAAGATAACTCGTTTTCATCGTTTTGAAAAATTGAAAACGAAAAAAGGCTTGAAAACGACAAAGAGAACGACCCCTCAGCTTCGGTTCATATAACATCAAGATTTCGATAGAAATTGCTAGAAAATGGAAAGGGTAAGACGGCAAAACTAACATATATAGTGATCTAATTGTTTTAAATATTTGTATAATATTATAGCACGAACTCGGCGGAGTGGGAAAAATATTTATGCAGCTGGCTCAAAAATATAATGAAACTAGATTTGAAGTTAAAAAAGGTTATTTACGCCTGTTCTTAATCACAAACTTGTCTACACACAAATTAGACGAAATTCTCTCCGAAGTTGTTCACAAAAACTATACGCACTATGTAGCAACTAATTAAGAGAATTTCAGTTGTAATGTTGATTTGGACAGTACTCGATGTTCACAAAGGAAAGGTTCTCTGTTGGTAGTTTGTATCTTGAATGCCATATTTGGATGTCTAACAGCACTGTCTCCTGACTATTGGACCTATGCACCATTTCGTCTTCTAACTGGTTTCAGCATCGGTGGAGTTGGCTTCTGTGCATCCACAGAACCCGTTGGCCCTTGAAAACATGGTATTGCTGGCGTGTCGACGTTCTAGTTCTCGGATGGAACAGCCACTTTCCAGTATAGCTTACATTTTACAGACCTGGGAGCACTATATATTGCATCCTCCATTTCATCCTTTATTTTCCTAGTAATCGTACTTCCATTTGTGTCTGAATCCCTAAGATGTGCCTCATTAGAGGAAAGACAAGTCATGCCATGAAAATTATGCACAATATTGCTAAACAAATGGAAGACACCTTCCAGATACTGAGTCCCCTTGACGAAGTAGCAAACGACACTACATGTAAGACTGAAAGGAATCATAAAATGGGACGAGTCGAAAGAAGCAAAAACTGGATCCCTCATAGACGTACTCCGTTCACCACTCACACATTCGCTTGTTTCTACTTTCTAGTAGTGGCCATTAACTTCTTGTGCTTTAGTGTGCACTATGGCCCAAGTTTAAATGTTGTCAACCTAAATGTGATCCTTTACCATACCTCAATGTCCTCCTCAATGAGTAGCAGAAAGGTCTGATTTTCTGTTAACTGTAATCTTACTTGACAAGTTCGGAAGAAAGCCAATAACCATTGGGACTCTGGTTCGGCAGAATTTTTTTGCATAGTTGGGAGTTTGCTATAATATAACTACATAATATGAAACGTTGTCCGAATGGTGTGTGGTATTTTTGGGATATTTGGCATGGCCGGATGGTATAATTTGCTGTTTATTTTTAGGATGTGCTACTCAGGAAGCACAAATAGGAGCAATATAGGTGCCATTTGTTGTGGTTTTGGGTGACGGAACTCCCTTTGCGGTGTTTGGAGTATGTAGGATAGTTGGAGGACTTTTGGCATTTTATCTACCAGAGACTTTAAACGGGCATTTATACGACACAATGAGAGGAATGGAGGATGGAGAAGGTACACAGGCTAATGTTTAAGGCCTTTTAAAGGGTGAAATTTAAAGTAGCTTAGAGAACCATGAAACATAAAATTTGTCACCATATGGATCTAAGTTTATTAAGATAAACAAAAATACCATTATAAAAATCAAATGGAAGAAAAGAATAAGTACTAATTTCTCATAAATTTTAGTATATTTAAGTTCCACAGTGCTAGTGTTGCCAAACACAATTAAGCTTTATACTTGATTCATGAACATATCCAGGATACATAAATATGCAGACACCCACGTCTCAACTTAGTTTCACAGTAGTGACTATAACTCTCACTCAAATCATCAAATAGTGAGAGACTACATGTTCTCTTTAAATTAAAATACAGACATCAATTCACGATTAAATAGCCGTTTGCCTGGAATAATGCATGTTTAATGAGGGAAATTTTAATCACCGCTGACCTTGCTGTGGATACCCATTGTTCAAGGAGGGGAGAGGAGGTCTTGGTCTTGCATACTCGGCGAAAATAACCCAACCATCCAAGAACTGCATATATAAAGTTAGCTGTTCAAAATACCATGTGAAAGCCAACATTTAAAAAGCTTAATTAGGTACAAAGGCAATTTACCCCGTGAGGTAAGGCATAAGCCCCCAAGATAGAACGGCATAAAAATTCAAAAGAATATAAAATACAAAAATATGCTAATAAAATACCATAAATCGTCTCAAACAATCCATAATAAAACTAATTAACAAAATTAAAAGCCTAACTTGCAACAAACATAAAATGAATCAAGTAAAAAATAATAAATTCTAAAATTAATAATCATGTAACAAAATCATAATCTATGACTAAAGGTGGGGACAATGGAAAATTTTCTTATGTGATCAATATACTAATATTTTGGGTGTATTCAATTGGGACTTTTAAAGACTTTTAAGGATTTAAAAAGTTTAGGGTATTCAATGTAGACTTTTTACGACTCTCTAAGAGTATTGGTATATTCAATTGAATATACTGAATTAAAACTTTTTAGAAGCATCTATAAATCATGGGATATTCAAAATATCAATAACTTTTAAAGACTTTTATAAAAATTTATAGAGTACTAACTTTTATGCAGAAAGTAAAAAAACAAAATATCAAAATTTATTTCTAATTCACCCCAAGATTCTGGAAGACTTAAACAAAAGAATTTTTTTTGTCGTTTCTCTTCCGTTCCCTTCTACGAACAACCACGATTAGATATTTGTCTTCTAGTTATATTTGTTCTCTTTTCCTTCTCTCTCTCTTTTTTAATTTTTCTTCCCATTTTCTAAGAAAAAGTATTAAATTGTAATTAGAAAATTCTTATAAAAAAAATTTTCATCCAATTTTTTATGTAAAAGATCAATTTATAATTAAATTTTAAATATATTGATTAGTATTGTACTTTTGAAGATCAAACATATTTGTAATAGTGAACATTATTATTATTATTTTATTTCTTTATTAAAGAATATTGAAAATTTTTATATATTTTTTGTATTTTGTTTATTTATTTTATCTAATTAAGGTGACATAATTTTTTTTTTTTAGATGAATTGGGGACAAATTTATAATTATTCTTTAAAAAATATTTCTTATTATACCTCCTGTGTGTGAATTTTCCCATTGTTGCACTAAATTCAAGCGACTCCTATTTTAAATAAAAAACTTAATAGTCTATTCAAGTGAATTCTATTTTAAATGAAAGTTTTGAACACTCAAATGAAATCTATAAAAATTTATAAAAGTTTTAACGCTTGTCTCGGCGCAATTTTTTTGGAAAAAAATAGATTTTGCCGTCAACTCGCCGACCCCACATGTGTTTGAGATAAAGTTGTTGTTTGTGCCAATTTGATTAAATACATAACTTTCAAATATCCAAAAGTCCATTCTACCCCTTTATGCAACTGCGTGTAAATCATCAAACGAGGAAAGGAAATAAATTGAAGACAAAATTGGTAATTGTCCCCAATAATGAATAATAAGTATGGTGAATTGTCTGACTATTATAGAATAAACAAATGATATTCCTTTTTCCCAACTGTCATTTTTTTGCTTTTAATTCGAATTTAATCGGTCCGAGACAAGGGCTACATATAAAAGCCTCCAAAAGACTTCCATTAACTCCATACAAATCTATAAATTTCTATAAATTTCACAAAAATCCATCACTTAAAAAAAGTTAAAAAGTCTTCAAAATTCCCTATTGAATATACCCCCCTTAATTCTTTAGGGAATTTTTAACATAATCCTCATACTCATCATAAATTTTATTCCACATATAAGCCTGAAATTATTTTTTTAAAATCAACTGACTTAAGGTAAGATTTTTACTCCATGCACACACATACCAAAAAAAAAAGGAATGGCAATTGCATGCTCTCAGCAGAATTATTAGTCAGGTTCAATAGTCATTTAGCTATTAACCAAAGTGGCCATCTATTCCAAAAACCTAAAACCCATCTGATCTCATTCAAATACATCACATCTGACTAAGCAGTGGTCCCCAGTACAAAGCATAATAGGCAATTGTCAAAGGAAAAGAACCAAATAACAACTTAGCGTTCCTTCTACTATCATGTTAGGACCAGCATATTCCTTTTAAGTGAGGTGTCTCTACCCATAAGATCAAATTATTACAGTTACTCTAATGAGGCTTACGTGGAAGAGATTATGGTAAAATGAGAGCACAAGATGCAAGAAGATATATACAGATCAAACTTGGGCAAGACACTACTTTCCCTTCTAATTTTAATGTTGTGCTTACATGCGCGCGTGTCCATATTCAGACATACACGCTCATGCACATGAAACCAAAAAAAAAAAAAACAGTTGAAAAGGCATAAGTTGAGAGTAAGAGAGTGAGTGAGACGAAATATCAAACCCCCTTTTCAGTTCTTAATTTTAATCTAAATTTAAGTTCCGAAACATGGGGGGCCAAACCCCTTTGGGTCCCCCTTCTTAGAAATTGGGAAAGCTCATTCTCTCACCACCGACCAACATCCTCTCACCGTCTCCTCCAAACAGAATTTACATGGGGAGGGGTCATCTCTAGGTCTAAAAAGTACTAAAGAAATGCAGATTTTTCAGTCAAATAACTTAGAAGGTATTCTCAGTAAGCAGAAAGAAAGAGTGAGCGAGTCATAAAAAGTCAGGCAGAAGGTTGCCAACCCTACAACATGCAGCTATTGATGATATAAATACGTTTGTCCAATAACTGCAAATGTGCTCAATTGATCACCACTAACCTGGCCATCCATGCCCTTTATCCCTGCTTCAGCTCCTTCTAAAGTTGCATAATCTACAAACCCGAAACCCTTTGAGTAACCAGACACACGATCAGTTACCACTTTAGCTGCAAAAAAGACAAAAAGAATTCATAACACTTTGTCGAGCGACCTCCATATGGGTCCTAAGTTTCAAAGAAGCAAAAATAGAACATACCGTTGACTACTTCCCCAAACTTAGCAAAGGCATTTCGGAGGCCTTCAGTAGTTGTACGTTTGCTGAGCCCTGAACATAAAAGGTCCAATGAGAACAGACACAAGGACCCACGATGAAAAACAAACTAAGGCAACAAATAGAAAATTTAAGAGAGCAAAATGCTGCTGACATTTGATGTGGGATCTCGAGTTTTTTATGATCTAACAAGACATTTAGCAGTTTCACTTGAAGAGATACATCTTTAATCAATTGACATCCATATAACGTAAGGTAAAAAAAATGACAACCAGAAAATAGATTTTATGGAACTACAAACAAGCAATGAGGCAGGCAAAATCTTGTTCTCCGTCAAGTTAGCATTGACACATTAAACTGTCAGGGTTTACTCATAACCACATCTAATATAACTCTCGGATATGGATTCCATATACAAATTGAACAAAACAAATTCATCACACACTTGGAAAATGCTTCTCTTTAGCCCACAAAATTTTACTCACCGGTACATATGTCAAGTAAAATTCCAATGCAGACAGCAATAACAATAAACATTATAATTTGGCACAATAAAAGTATTGAGCAAAACGAAGTAGATGATAAAGTAACACAAAGTGAACAAGGGAAACGAAACTGAGGGAACATAGAGATAGAGATATACCAGAGACGAAGAGATTGGTGGATGGTTCAGCGGGAGGAGGTTTCTCAACTTGAGTCGGTGGCAAATTAAATGAAAATCCCGGTAAAGACGAATACAGGGCTCTTAGGCCTCTCGGAGCTGCGGTGGATACGGCCGCCGCCTTAATCGCCGCCGCTCTCATTGCCATTTCTGGGGTTTAACCTCCTTCTGCTGGGGTTTTAGAGAACTCGATTTGGATTGTGACCTCGGTTTCTTCATACTAGTCGGCTACGAGTGATAAATGGGCTACATCGACCCATAGCTTTATTTCAATTTGGGCTTCTGGAACGGTGTAATTAACAGAAATAGAATAAAATGAGGTAGTTAGTTAATCAAAGACATTTTAAAGGTGGACTTGTAACATGAGTTTTGGGGAATTTGGAATGGATCTTGCTTGGGGTACGTAAAGCATAACATAGGGGTTGACATAATACTCACATGGGATGGGACCCATGTGAGGTGGGATCCACACATGGGTCCCACCCCATGTGAGTATTATGTGTACCATTATGTAGAAACATTATGTACCAATAGACTTTTCCATTTGGAATTGTAGCCATAAATAGAGATCCACTTATTTATTTATTAGAGTGTGTTTGGAATACATTTTTTTGAAAAAATGTATTATTGAATAATAGATCGATGGAGAATGTGTGGTTAAAAATGAAGGAAAAATTATTGATGCGATGGAAAATATTATTTTATTGAAAAATGTGTGGTTGAAAATAAGTAGAAGAATGGGAATAAAAAAATAATGTGTACCAAACAGGGCCTTAGTTTTGAAAATTACAATTTCTAGTAATTGATAGGTGATGAGATATATTTTGAAATTTGTCGTAGTTGAAAAAATTTGCAAATACGATCCTTTTTAATTAAACGAACAAAAATATCCTTTTGTAAAAATGACAACTTCATTGTATGGCTAAGATTTCATGGTACATGGTGTTGGTGCACACATCTCAAGACTAACTCAATGGCTTTAAGGTAAGAATTATTTTTTAGACGATTCTAATAATTCAATTATTTTAATAATATCTTACTTTTTCATTTAAATTAATCTCACTTAAATAATAAAATTATTGGTCGTGACTTGGGCCAATGTAGTGAAATAATAACCTCACTAAATGCATAAAAAATATTTTATTTAGATCTTTTAATGCCCAACAAATACATAAAATAATAACTAATTAAATTCATAAAAGTTAATACTAATAACTATAGAAAGTATGTTCCATGAGTACATGAAATAACTTAAACAATTAATCTTTCAAAATATTAAATTTTGAAGACAATGCTTATACATTAATGTTTCCTCTTTAATATATGTATGCGTGTGCTTTTTTGTGTGCTTACATATTAATTTTGAATTTCACCACATTCAAATAATTTTTTTTTTATTTCCTACATATAATATGGTAAAATATAATACAAGTTATAAAAATATAAAATATTATATAAATTAATAAATATTCATTTACCGATAAATTATTAAATTATTCATTTACCGATAAATTAATAATCCCTCTAAAATAATAATTTTTTTTTGTTCCAATGTTATTATCTTATAGAAGTTTTACTGTCCCTTACTTTTCGTTTTTCCCTTACTCTAAAATCATGGAGAACATTAATTTCTCAATCGACATATTAATCGGGGAACTCAAGTTGAATCCCTGCTTGACAAAATCAAGCAATACGAGTAGCAAGTTCTCTAACCCGAGAAACAAATATGGCGCACAGCACACAGTACCGTCCAAATATTTGTTCTTGAAGGATAAAAGATTCAGCACCAACAACCCCAAGTAGCAGCATGTTATGAAAAAGATCATTTCCCAATTGAAAATCTTAACTTTGCCCAAATTAGGATATCGCTAAAACAACTCAATACCCAGAAAAATATATCATATGGTTGCCACAAAAATGTTGCAATTGAAGAAGTAACATCTAATCCAGATGCAACAAAAGAAACACCGTAATAAAATTTAAATCTGCATCCCGTGACTGTATAACTTTTAACCTAAGCCTTATCAGCTTTAGAAGCAGTAGCAGCAGCTTGACCACGAAGCCGTCCAGTCCTCCTAGCAGCAATGAGGCCAACCTTTTGTCCAGGTGGTGCATCACGTCGTACGGTACTGGCATGACCAATATGTTGATGGTTACCACCACCATGGGGATGCTCCACTGGATTCATAGCAACACCACGAACCTTGGGCCAGGAGTTCCTCTTGACCCTGAACTTGTGATATGCATTCCCGGCCTTCAAAAGAGGTTTCTCAGTACGACCTCCTCCAGCAACCGGGCCAATCATGGCACGGCAGCCACTGGGCACAATCTTCTTGGCCCCTGATGGGAGCTTAACTCTGTCAACAATATTAACTTGTAAGGACACTGAATGATAAACGATCCATATATCTTCAGGATAATGATTAAAAAAAATGAAGTTTGACAATTTAAGATGCAGATCGGATAGGGAAAACTTGACAATTTAGTGGTTATGGTCCACAAAACAATGTACAACAGGTTAAGCAATTTCATGCATAGTGAAAAATTAGTAATTGCATAGTGCATAGTCAAAAAATTATGCAACAAATTTGACAATGCAGTGCCGTGTCTTCATTTCTATTGAAACCTAACAAATGCATCTTTATTGAATCCCAACTAAGGTGCGAATGAATTATTGCTTCCATTGAAACACTGATAATTTTATGCTAGAATTTCATTTCTATTGAATCAAACAACGATGGAAACCTAACAAATGAATGTGTATGGATTTGTAAAAAGAATATTTAAACACGAATCTAAGTCATGAATAGGAATTATACCTAGTAGTTCCATTATCTGGGTTGTGCGAGATAACAATGGCGTAATCTCCAGAGGCCCTAGCAAAAACGCCCCGATCACCAACATGGTGCTCCACGTTGCAAACGACGGCACCTTCAGGAATAGATCTGAGCGGCAAGACATTCCCGACCACAAGGTTGGCCTTCTTCCCACAGTAAATGAACTGACCGGTGTAGATTCCTTCGGCGGCGACGAAAAGTTCCTTCTGGTGCTTGTACCGGAAGGGGTGGCGGAAGGTAACGCGAGCAAGGGGAGCGCCACGGCCGGGGTCATGAATGATTTCAGTCACCACCCCCTTCAGGTAGCCATTGCGTTCGCCGAAGTCGAGGGAACGGAATCTGGCCGGACCCTTCCGGTGGTGGGTATGAGACTTGAAAACGGATCCTGCTCCCTTACGCTGTGCCCGGATCACCCGACCCATTTGCGTGCGCGCTGTGTGTGGAAGTGAGGGGAAGGGGACGGCTGGGAAATGGAAAAATACTACAGGATTGATATTAGGGTTTTAGAGATGGGATAGTGGGGTTGGAAATTTGTTAGGATTTCGTAGCCCTAATTTCTGCATTGTATGGATATGGGCCATGACCAGTTTCTTGTTGGGAAAATTAGACTGAAAACTCTATTAAAATATGTATTTTGATTAATCCATTTTAAACTCATTAAACATTTTAATCAAATAATATTTACGTCCTATTCTAAAACTCTTCATCTCCCACACCTCACATCACCCCGCTCTACCACTGACACCACACACCACACCACACCTCAAATCCATAACCATCACCTCCACCTCAAATACGCCGCCACCATCACCATCACCATCACCATCACCACCTCCACCACACCACACCACCACCACCTCACCTCCAACCCATTACCTACTTTCATTTTCAACTTTGAATATTTACGGAAATGACACTTGTGTCACTCTTTGTATCGGCAACGAAACTCGTCGGAATTCTAGTTTCCGTCACCGTCGCCGCCAATGCCTTTTCCTTCTCCCGGTTCCAAAAAAAGAACCTGAAGCCTTTTCGTTCTTCTATCGACGAGTCTTCTGATATTCTTGTCGTATTCAACATCAATCCGACTGCCGATAACTTCATTTTTTTCCTTTATCCTTTCGTGTTAAATGGGTTTTCCTTGAATATTAAGTATACATTAAAAAAAAAATCTGTATAAAATGGGAAAAAAAATTTAAAAAGTTGTAGGGGCTGCTGGGCGCCCTCACCCCCATGCCCTTCCGCCCATGAGACGACCCGACCAATTTAAGACCATCCGTCTACCAGTTCTTGATTGGGTCTGAGTTACTACGATTGGCTTGAACCCAGCATGTTGGCAAGATTATATAAAATAAATTTGTTTGCAGGTTGGGGTCTGATTTAATTGGTTAAGGAATTGCATATGTTTCTTTAATTTCAAAAAATTTTGTCAGCTAGAAATGGAAAGAAAATTGAAGAAAAGGTAAGTTAAAATAACTGTATTTATTAAATATTATTCCACTAGTACTGGGTTTTTGAGGATAAATTAAGATGGAAATGAAGTGCTATGTGGATATATTTTTTCATTGTCTTTGAACTTGATTATGGATTTTAGAGAGAATTGCAAAGGTTTGTTTTTAGGGCCAGTTTTCAATTTTCTGTTATATATATGTTGATGTGTATTCCATGTAGTTTTTATCCTTTTTTTGTTGATTTAATACAGCCAGAGGAAGTGCTGGTGGTGGAGAATGTATAGTGCGTGGATAATACATAATCATCATGTGAAGTCCATTGTGATATTCCATTATAATTAAGAATTGAACAAACAGCCAAACTGAACCAGAAGAATTAGAATCTTGGCTTAGAATTTGGGTGTTGAATTGAGAGTGTGTGGGTCTTGGAGCACGTGGATAAGTGGATAATCTTCTTCTTCTGGAGGCGGAGCTGAAATCGCGATACGAGGAGTGGGTGAAAGAGGGTGAAGGAAAATTCCAGTCTCTAGTGGAGGTGGAGGTGGTAGTCGAGGAATCGGCGTTAAAGGACATGGTTGGAATTAACAGAATTAAGATGGAATTTATCAGACTATAGCTTTTAAGTTTTTGTCACTTTTTAAGAAGATAAAAAAGTGAAATAATATGTTATATTTTCCTAACATAATCAATATGTGGATTGACCTGGACGTGGTGATTATTTTAAGAACATGATTAATGGTGTTACACAAATGGATGGTTTTATTTTGATATTTGTCACTTTTTTTAGTTTGTGTAACTTTTTTGAGAGTGTCACTTTTTTTAGTTTTGTCACTTTTTTTGAGTTCGTATCACTTTTTTTTAAAAAGTAAAAAAGTGACATTTTTTATTAAAAAAAAAGTGACATTGTGACTTTTTTTATAAAAAAAGTGACATTGTGTCACTTTTTTATTTTACACAATATTTTTTACTTTCTAAAAACCTTTCACATGATTTTTCAAAACACCCCTAATTTTAAGGGTAATTTTGTATGTACCCCTTTCTTGTTTACCCATCTGGGTAAGGGAGCCCAATAGGCTTATTATCTGTTAAAGGACCCAGGTGAACAATTATGGTGTAAAGGGCCCAATTCTAATGCTAGTGTTAGTATTTTAATTTTTTGGACATCTTACCCAAATATGTCCAACATGTGATCGCATTTTCTGAATGCATCCTCTAATTGTGGAGGTGCAATAGACCCTTTAACTCCAAAATATAAATCAAGCAACCATTTATTTGCCGTAGTACGAGTCTTGTTGCTTCCTCACCATTATACTTCAAGCCCTTAATGAAGGCAAGTTCAATGATCGAGAATCTCAACATCTTCCTGTTTCCCAGTGCAAAATGTTCAGCTCATCGCCATTGACTGGCTTAAGCAATCAAATTAATAAGAAATCAATTATCTGATAGGAAAACTGCATGTCCTTCAATGAATAGAAGGACCATAGGAATGATAAGTGGAGTATGGCTACGTGCTCCTTATCGAGCCCCTATAGTACTACAACATAGCTAGAAAAGTTAAAATATGATGTAATTTTCCCCAAATGAGCTATCGTACCGTTGTTCAGATAGTACTTAATTCTACAAAAATAATAAACATTACAAACATATACAAGAGATTATGGAATAAAACATAATATCTTAAAATTTAACAAATCAGATTGTATGCAAAAATAAATTCATTTCATCAAACATTAAAAATAAAAAACAAAAATGAAATTAAAGTATAAAGTAAATTGAAATAGAAAAAAATAATTTCAAGTCAAGTAAAAGCCAAAAAAGGAAAATGAAAAATAATTGATTGAAAAGAAATTTAAAAAATTATAAGATTAAAAAAAAAAAACTCACATACAAAAGGGAAAAAATAATTGATGACAAGAAAATAAATAACAAATAAACTGAAAAAAAAAATGATTTAAGATTGAAAAAAGGGACATAAAAATAACAATAAAAAATAAAATGAATTAAATTGAAAAAAAAATGAAAATGAAAAGAAGGTTCGAATCGAACTAGACACGATTGGGCTGGCCGTAGCTGGCAGTCCGGATCCTGGCTCGAATCGCGTTTCCAACGGGCTCGCCAAAAAACTCCGACGAGCTATGTCCCAAAAATTCCCATTTTTCGCCTATTTCAATTTCAAATTCGATTTTTCTTCGATTTTAATGATAAATGAATATCAATATTTGTATTAAACTCATAAATTATCACATACAAAAAAATAAAATAAAATAAATCTCTACATTCACCGCAATGAAATACTAAAAATTTCAAATAGATAGTAAATTATCAAGTTTAGAAGATGAATAAGGCCGTCTGTACTTTTATTATTTTTAGAGCTTGTTTGGTAGAGATTTTTTGGGGGAAGAATTGATTTTCAATAGTGATATGATGAGAAATGTATGGTTGAAAAAAAAGAAAAAATTATTGATGTGATGAAAAATATTATTTTATTGAAGAATGTGTGTTTGAAAATGAGAATTGATTTACTGTAAAAAATGAGAATCCCTACCAAACATGCCTTATTATTTTATTTCTTCTTTTCAAGGGGTGCTATTGGTAGCTCAATTTTTGTTTTGTTACTATTTCCACCCGTCTCATCCCCATCTGTTTACAATTCGCAATCCGCAATTCACAAATTGAAGTTTTAATCCCATCTCCCCCTTTCCCTCCAATCTCCATCCGTTCATTCTGCAAACAGAACAAATAATATTGTTGCAATCTCAATCACTATTTCACATAATTCAACATATTTAGTAATTACATAAACATATATAGATATATACATGAAACGAGGTTATCAGCAATCTTCCCCCTCGGGCTCTCATGGACCCCCTCAATCCAAACCCAGATATAACCCTGAAGGTATTTTTCGTTTTCTTTATATTTTCTAAAGAAACTATAATACCCAAAATCTCGTTTTGCACTTTAATTTAGGTTAAATGGAGTAAAAAGGCTGGAATTTATTTTAAGAAAAGTTTGGATTGCTGAGAGTAAAATTAAATCGGGTAAAAACGAGAAAAATACGTCACTTATATTTTACTTGTCGGTTATAGTGTTGGAGATTCATAATTGGGCTTAAACAGTATGAATTATAAAGCTCGAATTGTCAAATTCACCTCTCTTTTAATGTGGTGTTGTGGGGGGTGGGGGGCCGGAGGTTGAAGTCTGTCTGTTGTCAATTAGTGAGGACATTTTATTGTGGTCAGGGGATGCATATTTTTTGGAGGATGAAAGCACTAAGATTTTTGCGAGGAAGGTGGCTGATCATTACAGTGCAAGGACCAATCAGACGCTAGAAGAGCGAGAAGCAAGCCCTATAATTCATTTGAAGAAACTCAACAACTGGGTATGCATTGAGATTTGATTACCTTATTGATCTTTTCTCTTTTAATTTCTTTTATATGTATATTTATGACCTAATTAGTTAATGAAAAATGCAGTGAATTCTCACAAGAAATTGTTTCTCACTGCTTGTCCTGATCAACAGGTAAAGAGTGTTTTAATTCAGTTATATGCCAAAAAAGGAGATGCAGTTCTTGATCTCGCTTGTGGGAAGGTGGCGTATGAGTGGGATTCTGTGGATTATTAGGTGTTTACTATGTGCATGTGTAGTAATTTAGCACTTTTAATATCTTTTTTTTTTTATGTGCACCAGGGTGGTGATCTTATCAAATGGGATAAAGCAAAGATCAGTTATTATGTCGGCATTGATATATCAGATGGCTCGGTAAAGTTACTATTCGTTCTACTACCCGTCCATTGTCAATTGTATGTCTATGTGGAAACATTGAGCCATGTTTAGTTTTCAAGCTGAAAATTTTCCTTGCGTGTCTCCCTCTCTTTATATATTTAGCTGTGTGCACAAGTCGTGTATCAGAACTCGAAGTTTGAGATATGTGTGAGCAAAAGGACTCTTTCTGCTATTATGGAAACCTAGAAGCAATCGAAGCCTACCTAATGATGCTAATTTGCTCATTCTAAAAATGTTCATGTTCAGATTGGTTTCCATAATCTTCTAAAATATCCAAGTACTCTACCACGACATGCGTGCATGGGCAGACCCAGATGTTTTGTACTGTGGGGTCAAAAGTTAAAAAATATTTTTTTTTTTCAAAATAACATATCATTAATGAAAATAAGTCAATACACTACTACAACTGTAGCCTATGCGTTTTCATACTATGATATTGACGTATAATTACATCATTATTAATATTGTCTAGTACAAGATATAAAATCAAAGCATCTAACTAGAAATAAGGAAACCCTATAATCTTCCAATCTACTCTGTAACATCAAAACCCTTTAATCTTTCATGTTTACAGAGAGTAAAAAAAAAAAACACTATCAGTAATCAGAAATTATAATGACAGAATCGGAAGGCTATTCTACATCTAACATCAACTTGATTTCTTGTGTTACTACTCCTCCTCAAAAGCCACATAACCAAACAAAAACATACCAATTACCAAATGCCAATAGCATATATTAATTTACCTACCACTTCGGTTGTTCGGCTTCGACAGTAACCATTAGCAATAGCAACTAGCAAGGGCGGAGAGAGGAGGGTTTTATTTCATCTGTGCCGTGAAGAGAAGACAGGAAAAGAGAAGGGAAGAGAGACGGTCTCAGTCCGGGTTTGAGAAGTCAGAAGTGTGAAGATTAGAAGTCACTGGTCACATATGTTTAGTTGGGTAAATGGAAATTGGGTTTGAGTTGTAGGCGGCATGGTACTTAAGTACAAAAAAAAAAAAGTCCAAAATTTATGTGGCGTCATTTGACCCCACATGACCCCATGTGGGTCCGCCCCTGCATGCATGTACCTTCAAGGTTGATAATGGCATTAGAAGTTACTAAGCTAGTGTTTTGTTGGTAACTTGGTATCATATATCCGACTATGGGTCATGTGTATCGTGTTCTCTAGCATCTTCTTTTTCACTTTAAATGAATCATACCCACCTATTTGTACCCTGTGATGGATAATTTTTAATTGAACTTCAGCTTTTGGTCAATTGTGGATTTATGAGGTTTTCAGTTGTTAGGTGTTAGAATTTGATCTTTTGCAAATCTATTTTCTTTCCCAAATTTAAGTTTTAATTCAATATTCACTTCTTTAAGATACCATAGATTGTGGATTAGTATTATATTTTTAGGTATTTGAATTTGATCATTTACAAATTCATCGCTTCAGCCTTACCTTTTCCCAAATACAAGTTTCAATCTGATATATCAATTGAGAATACCTTAGAATGTGGATTAATGATAGTTTCTTTTATTAGTTGTTATAATTTGATCTTTTGCAATTTTATATATTTCTATTTGCAATTCGAGTTTTAACTTGATTATTCTTGAATATGCCCTAAAATGTGAAGAAGGTTAATATTTGAGTTGTTTTTGTTGCACAAATGTCGTCTAATCCTTTATTCATGATATCGGCAAGTCTTCAACTCTCGACTGATGAATAATATTTGGAGATCAATATTAAGGATTTTTTATTAATTGCATTTTCTTATACGTACGAAGATAGGAAATCTTTACATGCTTGACACATGAAGTAAAATAATGAGACTTGTCACCTTTACATATTTTAGTCCTAAAAGACCAACTATAGATTATAGCCATAACCATTTCAATCGATGTCCTTAACTTGACTCAGGATACACTCAATCATTATTGAAACCTTGAAAGGGCTGCAAATACTTCTGAACAAATGAACATGGCTCGTGCTTCTTGTGTATAGCTGAAATGTAATTTTAAAGTCTCAATGAACAAGGATATGGTTTTTTTAAAGCATCTTCCTCTCTCATAGATGTCCATCTATGGGTTGCAAAACTAGTGATCATTACGATCCACTTCATCTGTACCCTAATCTCCATAAGGATGTAAATTGAAATGATATTGATTGGTGCCTATTAGTATTATAATTTTCAGACGTAGAATGAAGTTTCTGAAAATGTGATATTATTCTGTTTACTAGCTTATTCAATATTAATTTGTATGCTAACTCTGACAACAGATAGAGGACTGTCGAACTCGTTATAATGGTGATGCTGACCATCATCAGCGTCGAAAAAAGTTCTCATTTCCTGCCAGACTCCTGTGTGGAGATTGTTTTGAGGTAATTAGTGATTATGTCAGCTGTGCCAGCCATAAACACAAAAATGCTTTGTCAACAATCTGATGTATACAAATGGATTCTGACTTGCGTTTAAGTATCTGAAATTAGCCCTGTCTTGTTACTTACTTCAGGCACTGGTGGAAGTAATTTCTATATTTCTCTGATGGATTTTAGGTACGCTTGGATAGAGCTTTGGCAGATGATGCTCCCTTCGACATTTGTAGCTGCCAGGTGAGTCTTGCATTTCTGTGAAAGTAATGGTCCGTGTTTTAACATTAGTTAAATTTGGTGGGTAGGTGACACTTTGGGGCCCTCAAACCAAATTTATCACAATTTAAAGTTGACACAACAGAAGTTTTTTCTTTCATTCTCTTTTCTTGAAAGCTACCCAAAAGAAGATTATCAACGAGCTTTTGACATTCTCTCTTCGCTAATCTCTGATTTTATTTAACTGAAAAATGATATTCTCTACAATGACTTCAATTTACTTGTTCCAGCGGTTAAATTGCACAAACACTCTCAAAAATGTCCTTATCAGATTGGGAATACAGCATCATAACCTTTTCAAAAAAATTTATACGTCTCTATGTTACTTTAAACTTTAAATTTCTGTAGTATCCTTTTGGGTTCTTGTCCTATATGTAGTTGAGGTAAAAGCACCTCAATGTTTTTGGATTCTTTTGGGCAAAGACATGTCTCTCAGATTATGTCCTTGTTCAAACTCTTTTGTCAATATCATGGATGACAAATGAAAAAGAAAAGTGCACTGAAAAGGAAATGTTTATGTCAACTATGTTAAAAGTTTTGAAATCATAGTTTCTCTGTAACATTGTAAACAGTAAACAAGTATTTGAGTTTTTTAAATTTTGATATTAACTGTCAAAACCTGAAATTTTGCAGTTTGCCTTGCATTATTCATGGTCTACTGAGGCACGTGCGAGGCGGGCATTGGCCAATGTATCAGCTTTACTTCGACCAGGAGGCATCTTTATTGGAACTATGCCAGATTCCAATGTTATCATCAAAAAGCTTAGAGAAGGTTTTTTTCCTGAGCTGTTTTAATATGTGCTCTTGGAGTTCACTGGAAATTGAAAGTGTATTGGTGAAAACTTGCCTGTTTATTTCCCCTCTTGAAGCTACACTTCTCTGCATGGTGTTTGTCACTACATGTAAATGAAAACTATTGTCACTGTATGGGGCACTTTTGGGGGTAATGTCCCTCTTAGTTCTCATTTTCTTTTGACAAAACAATATATATTATATAAAATGTCTTATTGATAGAAGAATTTTTAGATTTCTTTTCTGACCCTTGAAGAGGTGACATGGTGATTTTGATCCTCTTTGTCTCCTTTTCCTTGGATCGAACAATACATACATAAATACATTAGATAGATATACATAGATATATGGAATATAGATAGACACACACACACACGTACATACTTATATGCAATACACATGCAAAACCACATATACATGGTTGCCTACATGTATTACTCTTTTAGACTCAGTGGTGAAAGATCTATATGCTTCTGATGATGATATTTTCTAAATACCTTTTTATTCACCATCACTTTCCAGTTTCTTTGGTACTGATTCAACTTGTGACTACTCTAGTATAGGATGTGAAGAGAGGAATACCGTGAGAAATAAAATAATATTCCACATATAATGATTTTTTATTTCCTTCTTGATTATTGAAAAATTTCTAGTGGTGATGACTTGATCAAAATGGTAAAGAAACATTTAAGTTTTCCGACTTCTTGTTTTACTGTCTTTAGTTTATCGACTAGATATGTACCCATGAACTATCCATGACTTCATTTTCGGTACCTCATGGCATTTTGTTTTATATGAAATCTTTTCCTTTGATTTTTATGATGTGTTTCTCTTTTTCTGAAACTATGAATCATCTGCATACCATTTTACTCATTATTATCCACTTGATGGACTATGTAGCTGAGGGTTTGGCGTTTGGTAACAGTGTGTACTGGATAAGGTTTGGGGAAGAATTTACGGAGAAGGTAAATTTCATTTTTTATATCAGAAAAATGCTGGTAAAACAGCTTTTCTTGCATACGGTTGGAAATTCTCTATTTCTAATAAAAAAATTGCCATTTTGGTTTATTCCAGAAATTTAAGTCTTCAAATCCTTTCGGCATCCAGTACAGTTTCCACCTAGAGGTACTACTTTTTGCCCTTTCTACTGTTTTTATCTATTTGGTTATTATAATCTGAAACTTCACCTTCACTTTGTTCATTTATTTTGACATGTGATATTTATTAAAGATTTACATCTTCACACTTCCGAAAATATCCTCATGAAAAGTGATGGAAGTGGTTCTCTTGTAGGATGCTGTTGATTGTCCTGAATGGATTGTTCCCTTTCCTGTCTTCAAATCATTAGCAGAAGAGGTATTAATTTTCTACTTCTTGATTAAGTTGCTCATTTCATATCTGCATCAAGTAATTCTTTCAACATCACTTTGAAACTGTCTTTCTTGTTATCGTTGAATGGTTCTTGGCTCTGATGATTTTTATAAGGATTAGAATACTGAATTATCTGTAATCTAGTTTTAAATTGTATAGAACCAATTAGATCAGTCCTGATACTAACCAAAATGTGAAAATAAACATGGATTTAGCTAGTGGGCTTTAACTACATATCGGTAAAACACCTGTTTACATAACAGAAGTGCCTGTGAAATCTTATATCAGCTGCATTACAAACTTGTTACAGCTTACTTATGTTCACCTGTGCAGAATGATTTGGAGCTGGTTTTTGTAAAAAACTTCCATTTGTTTGTGGATGAATTCTAGCAGTATGATTTGGAGCTGGTTTTTGTAAAAAACTTCCATTTGTTTGTGGATGAATACTTGAAGAAACCAGAATTTGTTGAGCTCATGCGGAGGCTTGGTGCATTGGGTGATGGTAACCAAGACCAGAGTATGTTCAGGATTTACTTTTACATGAATTGCCAAACGTCTTATTTATTTATCACTTAATCAATTGGTTTTAAGTTTCACTTGTAAATGTTCAGGTACTCTGTCACCGGATGAATGGGAGGTAGCCTACTTATATTTGACATTCGTTTTGAGGAAGGTGAAAATCCATACTTCTTAATAAATAAGTTCTGTGGAATATTTTGCCCAACTATTTACAAATATTTGTTCTTTTTTACACTTGCCGTTCTTGTTCTAGAAGATTTCATGGAATAGAAGTTGTTTTCTTGTATATACACGTGTTGTGTTCTACATATTTGATTTTCTCTCTTGGTCATACTGGTTTAACCATTTAGTGCCATTTTTAGGTGCAGTGAAGTTATTCTGTACTATACAATACTGTCCTTTGGCGGTAGTAAAATGAAAATTGTTAGCAAGTCAATCTTAATTATACTGATTCACTAGTCTCGTTTTATCCAAGTGCAAACAAATAGCTACAGATAAAGGGATTTGCATTTTGCAATTTTGATATGGACATAATTTATCTTTTCTTGCAGCGGGGGCAACCAGATCAACCAAGAACGAGCAGTAGACGAGACAGAGGGAAGATGCAGTTGTCGAAGGAAGACATTACATTCATAAGAAATGGTGTTTGACTGCTCAGTTTCAAGAACGGCATCCAAACGGGACTAACAGCACGAAATTCCCTTGTTGTGAATGGCAAGCTCAATCCTTATATTTATTTAACTTGTCTCCTTACTACAAATTACACTAAAGAATCCCGAGTTGCTGATCTGAATAAGTTGATATTGCGGCTTTTGCTTATGATAATGTAATTGCCCCTTATTGCAGCCTCCCTCTCCCCCCCCCAATTTCAACACAGATGTATCATCTTATTAAGCTGATTTTATTTGGTCTAGTCACCACGTGCCAGTCTTTTTGATGCACCCATTCGATTTAAGTAATCCCTTTGAATCAGACAAAAGCAAATAATAAGAATTTGATTTAAAAAATTTATATACATATCTCGATTTATATGAAATTTTTTTAATGAGTAATATATGGAAATGTATTTATTGAGTTTCTTGGCCTTTGACTTTGCAGAAATGTTTGGAGTTTCCTTGATTTGCTCGAGAAAGTGTACTTGTCATTGACTCGGAAAAGGATCATACTGGAAGATTGTGTTTGAAATGTAAAAAATGTCATTGGTAATGACATGTTCATGCAGTGAAAATCAAGGTTCTATGCGACTAAACGTTGCGAAACTTCAAACTTTACGAACTTAAACGAGTCTAGTCGAGGCTTAAGCGTAAAAAAACGTTTTTTTATTTTTAATATTATTTTAAATTTTTAATCATTTTAAAATATTTAATAATTAAAATAATATATATCAAACATCTAAAATTATAAAATACTATATTTACTTGATAATTTCTACAATTAGTTAATTATAAAATTTTCAAAATGCAAAATTTAAAATATTTTTCATAATTTCAATTTTTAACTAAACAAATTTTACTTAAAAGATTTATAGGAATTTCATACATGCTTTTGGAGTTTACAAAAAAATTAATGAGTCTCAAAATCATAATTACATACTCTAGATAGCGCTATAAGTTAAATTTTTTTTAACTATTTAGATAAAATTATTTTTAACTTTTGTACAGATAAAATCTTTTAAAAAACTAGAAATTAAAGTCAAATAATTTTTTTATAAAAAATTAATAAGCAAAAGTCCAATAAAAGACTTTTTAAAAAATAAAAAAAATAAAAAACAATAAAGCGTGCTTAGGAAGGACGAAAGAGATGAACGAAAAATTCAACCGTTTGAGAATTGAAAAAAAAAAAAATGTTTAGGAGTGAAGTGAGAAGTTTTGTCCAAGCTTCGAGCCTAGAACACCTTTTTAGAACACTCGTAAAGACTAATTATGATGATCTCAAGGTTTTTTCCATACAATAGAGAAGTGAATCAGTTTATGGTTTAGAGAATCATTGGTTGATTGTAAGCCAAGTCTTCAAATTCAAAAGTTGGGGTCGTTTGATTGCAAATGTAGAAAATTGTTTGAAAAAAAAATGTTTTATAGGGAATTGATTTATTTAGAAATTGTTTTACGAGAAATTGTAATTAATTGTGTTTGACTGGTATAATTTTTCATGAAAAATGTTAAAAGTTTGGTGTCCATTTGATTTCGTTTTTTTATGAAAATTGTCTATTAAAGTAATAATTTTTTCTACCATTGAATCTAGACTTTGTTCCAATTGCCAAAAAAATTTTGAAAAAAAATTACAATACCGAATACCGTTCGTTTGGGTTTGTTTTGCATGAAAATTGTCAATAAAAGTGCTAATTTTTTTTTACCATTGTGTCTATAATTTTTTCCAATTGTATTAAAAAAAAAAAAAAATCAGAAACATATTTACCAACCAAAACATCAAGAGTTTATTTTCCTCAAAAAGGTGAGAAAGTTCGAAAATATTTTTTCGGAAAAATTTTGCCCATCAAACACTACAAAAGTTCGAAAATAAAAAATTCTATTTTCCATAAAAAATATGGTGTACCAAATGGAGCCTTACTTTACAGTAAGAAATAACAAATAAGTAATTTACTCTTTTAAGATTTTTTTGCCCTTTCGAATTTACTCGTGTGCAAACAACGTTGTCAACTTTTTGGTCACCAGTCAACGTTAAATGTACATTGCACGTAATAATGAAATGATTTATAAGTACTGTAAAAATAATATTTGAATATGTGTAAATGTTAATTAATATAGAATTAATATCAAAGAATATATACGTGACAATGAATGTTAAACAATTTCTTTAATTCCCAATTAAGTAAAATTGAATGCTAATTAGCATACATGAGCTAAGATAATGAAATACATTATTAATGTGAAATTCTAATTAGCTTATAATTAGAATTAATGACACTGAAACGCATAAATGAAGATGAATATTAATTAAATGGATGTGAACTTTAATTAATTGAGAATTAATAACATGAAATTCATATATTAATTGAAATCATACAGGTGAAATGTACATATGTCAAATGTACATGTACATTGATGACAATTAAATGGTTAAATAAGTTAAATACATATTGAAAAATGAAAAACAAGACATTATTGAAATAATTGAATTATAAAATGACTAAAATCATCCAAAAAATAATTATCACTTGAAGTGATATTTAATATATTATGAGCTTGTTTGGGAAGAATTTTTGAGAGAAGAATTGATTTTGAAGAGTGATATAATGGAAAATGTGTGGTTGAAAAAGACGAAAAAATTATTGATGTGATATGATAATTGATTTACTGTAGAAAAACATAAATCCCTCCCAAACAGGGCCATAGATTTGATGGATTCACTATATCCAAGTAACTATTTTACCAAGGGAAAATTATTTAAAATAGTAGGGGAAAAAAAAATAAAATTAGGAGAGTTTCCAAATTGTCAAAATGGGCATTTTGCCATGAACCTCGACCACTATACACTTTTTGAAGAAATGTTCTTTTCAAACGTATATAGTTACACTTGTATATTACAAATTTGGTAGGTGCACAAATTACTATACAATCAAGTCGGTACCAATTCCTGTCCATACATTACTATAAAGAACTATCTCCAGTAAATTATGGATAATCAGCCTCTTTTTTAACACAAGAAAGGTATGGAAGTTGCAAAGGAACTAGCAAAAAAATAAAGTAGAAACAGACCCTCCATATGCACTACAAGTATTTCAAAGTAGTGTTCGGTAACAAACTAGAAAAACAGGAAAATGAACGATTCATCATACTGTATGAAGCTTCGACAAATTCTTGCAAATAACGACAACTAACCTCGCTTCAGTAAAATTACCATTATTGCCATGATCGCCAATCCCATTAATGATGCTTCCAAAACAGTCTCTACACTGTTTAATCTTGCAGTTTCATCATCATTCATAGATCCTTTATTGGCAGCCTTGCCCCTGAAGAAATTCTGGAAGAAACCCGACAAGCTATTCATCATTTCAACCACAGCAAGCTTGATCTTCTGCATAATATCCTGAAATCCATTTCCTGGCTCGGAATGACCTGAGTCGGACGGTCTATCATCGCACTCCTGGAGTGAGCGGTTGCGCAGATCATAGTCAGCAACTGATTCCTTGACATCTAAATTCATATCCGAGAAGGCCAAACCTGCAGACAAAATATAACAAAATGCATAGCATATATGCGGTGGATGAATTGCAGATACAAACAAGGATTCTTACAGGTCTTCTGTGACTGCAGAAACTGCTGAAGCTCTTGATTTTGTAATACTGCATTCCATACATTTGGATCACAAGCAACTGAGGCAACAACAGTCTGGCAGAGCATCAGATTTAGATATCATAATCACAAATTTCATGATGCTATTGCAAAATCAGCAAAACATTCATGTGTTTAGAAGCTGATCTATCTATAACAGGGTTTCCAGTGGGAAGGAGGTCCAAAATCAGATTAAACAATACCCAATTAAGGCCTCAAACTACAATTTAACTCAAAGATATCTATTTAAAAAGGGTAAAAAAAGATCAATATAATAATTTAAAGAAATATAATGTTAACATTCCAAATGAAAACTGGCCACCTTTAGAAGACGCAACTGAAACCATCCTCATAAACAATCACTTGTGTATAGTTCCACCCTTTTTTTCCTTTTGAGATATTTACTAATGATACTAGAAAATAGAAACCAGGATTTTGCTTCTGTAGAATTCTGTTCAGCACATAGCAAGCAGTGAAAAGACAACGTGACTTCCATCACCCTGTGCCCTTTTTATTATTTCCCAAAGAAGAGCATATTAAAAAGAATTCTGAAGTCTATATTCCCTTGATAATAGATGGTCCAGATAGAAATGAATCAGCAGAAACCAAGCTTGCTTGAATCAGGAGACCGTGAGAACTAATAAATACGAGATCCTAGATTGTGGAACTATCAAACATATAAAAAAACTCGAATGGTATCTTCCTACTTTCAGTTGTAATAATAAATGAATATCATTTCAAGTGTATTGAGTTGGACAAGCTGTAAAACCTGAGCTGCAGAGCTGTTGTTTAGAAACCTAAATGCTTGAATAGCATGAGTTGGTACAGCAGCTGCTACGGATTTCTCAGTAGTGTGTCTGGTGTCTAGAACTTCTGAGTTAGAAAGCAAGGTGGAACCGTGATCTGATGTATGTGAACCTCCATGGCCAACAGACTGAGGAGAAGACAGATAAGCCCTGAAATTTCAAGAAATTCAGCAAAAGAAAATCCAGCAGGAATAAAAAACTTAAAAGCAGGATTAGCTTTATCTAGAAATGTATTAGACCTCTAAAATTGTTATACCGTTCAGTTGTCGCTATAGGACTTCACATGAGGTTATAATTCAAGAAACACAATTGGCTCAATCTTATATGGTTAATAAATAATAAACTAAAACCCCTCTTCAAGACTTGTAATCTGCTCCCAGAGATAAATTAAACAGAATCAAAAAACAAAAGTTGAAAGCAGTGCTGTGTTCTCGTAAACTTTCCTATCATTATTTCTTCTTCACTAGAAATTCATAGAAGTCCAAAATTTTCAAGAAAGCATACTTTTTGATAGCCACGGTGAGTTCAGAAGTGGCCTCCTTGGCTTCCTGAAGAGTCGGCGGGCCACCAAATACAACCCTTGGCATGGTCTCGCCGGCACTAACCATCAAATCCTCCTCTCCTCCAGCGACCTCCCAATCATCGAGCTCCGAGCAAGGCCTCTGGACGTCAGCCTGCGTCTGCGAGGCCTTCAGTTTCACGTCATCCTCCAACGATACCCTCGCTGAAACGGGATATGAAGACGCAACCTTACGAGCGGAAAAAGAAAACGGATAGTTCTCGACGGCAGTGACGCCTCGGGGCCCCCCGGTGCCAACTGTGAATCCCACTACCTTCGCCGCCGCCTTCATCCCTCCTCGGTGAAATTGAATGTATACGAAGTGATCGGAAGGGAAACCCTAATTATCAACGACGGTAATTGAACCCGGATTAAGGCAATCTTCAGCAGAGGATAGATTGGAATTTAATCGATTTATATGAATTTGGATAGATTTTCATTTTCCGGGAAGAGAGACCAGGAGACAGACACGTGTCACATTTGGCAGTGCGTGAATAACCTTTCGATTGAAGAGAAGTTTACGTGGATGTAAATTATTAGAGTTATGCTATGTGTACATAGATGCACACATATGGAATGACATAATGTGAGTGGAGCGGGGCCTGCGCTACAGTGGTACGGGTCCCACCTCACTCACATTATATCATCCTCTATGTGTACACCTATGTACACATAGATTATTTTAGGAACTTTTGGTCAATATTTCTGGTCAAAAGCGCTAAAAAAAAAAATAAAATTTCAACCATTACAACCCAAAAAACTTTCCATGTTTTAACGTTTACTGTGTATTAATTTTGGAAATAACCGTTTAGAAAATAGCCGTTGGAAAAACTTCCTCCCTCTTGGTATCTCTATATGGCATAATTCATCTCTATATATATACATCCCACATGCATTCGCGCCTCAGGTTTGAAACTTCTATCTGATTTCTTGTTTGTAATGCCTTAATTTCCTATATCTCTTCCTTCAATTTTATTATTTTATCTGTATTCTCTCAGTGAGGAAGGAGAGGGAGAATTTTCATCTTTATTTCTAGGGTATTGAGATCTTGTTTGAATTATTTGTTACACAAATCTGCTGCAACAAGTTTGTTTGCAAACTTTTGCCTGATTTCTTGTTTGTTATGTCTTAATTTCTTACATTTCTTCCTTCAATTTTATTGTTTCATCTGTTTTCTTTGAGTGAAGAGGGAGAGAGAATTTTCATCTTTATTTCTAGGGTTTTGAGATCTTATTTGAATTATATGTAAGCAATACCCTTTCTGGTGCGCAAATCTGTTTCAACATGTTGTTCTTAATTTTTTGTGATGCTAAGGGTATTTGCGCGAGAGACTTTTATTACAGACTTTGATTTTGTTGTTTCTTGAATATTTTTGTGTGGTGTTAATGGAAGGTTCTCTACACAAGGGTATTCCCTTGTAGTAATTTTTTTAACAAATTTTGTTATTTACAGAGACCTCTATGAAAACAAAATTACAGGCACATCCAGAGGAGTTGAGTTTGAAGTATTGATATTGTCATGATAAGCCTTTGGCTTTCCCTTTAAAGTCTTGATCAAGTTTTTGATCTTTTGAATGATTGATGTATGTTGAAATGTCCAGGTAACTTTACTTGAGTTCTTTACCCTTCACTCAATCTATCTGTACCCCCCAATTTTGTCAATTCACTATTTCAGTTTTATTATCTAATCTGTGATTGAAGAGTGAATATCATCTTTATCTAGAGTGCATTAAATTCTATTAGAATTGTTTGTCAGAACAACTCTTGCTGGCTCTGTGTGTGTGTGTGGTTTTTTTTTTTGTGGGGGTGGGGGGTTTCTGAGCTTTAGTTTGTGAGAAATGCTACGCCTGCCCTTTGCTATTTTCCCTTGTTTCTTGTTTGTATTGCCTTCTTTGGAGAGGTGGGATGTGTTTTTAAGCATCAATGTTCGTAGGAGCATTAACTGTGTTGTTTATGTATGGTGTGAAATGGCGAAACATTGATTGCCATTAAAGCATCAGTCAATTGTGTGTTTCTTTTATGTGGGCTCTCTAATCTTAGAGTTTTGGTCTGTGAAGAATGAGGCTCAGGCTGCATGCTTATATTTACTCTGTTTCTTGTTTGTATTGCCTTCTTGAGAAGGGTGTCGGAAGCGTTTTATCCCTTAATTTTCATTGGATTGTGGTTTTCATGTATGGTGTGAATGGAGAAGCGTTAACGTTCATTAAAGCAACATTCAGCGGTTTGTTCCTAGTATTGTTCGGTTCTTCGACCTCCTCGATGTAGTTTGTGAAGAACTCAACTCAGGCCGTATGCTATTTTTTATGAAGTACGAACTCATCTCCGTTTCTAGTCCACAGTTCTTTTTGAATTGTTTTTTGTGAAGTATGAACTATTCTTGCCGGTGTTCATGTCTGCCGCAACAGACATTGTCGGAATTAATTGAATCTAAATGCATTAAATCATTAAATATGATATTTAATAATGTTACCCATTGCAATTAATTTGGGTGAATTGGAAAAGTCTCAAATATAGGTCCATAAATTGATAATTCAATTTGAAGTGTCTTATATATGGTTAGCAAACTAGCCACCACTATTTCGCAGCACTCGCTCCGTGTCGCACCCCGATCCCAATCCCGATTCGCTCTCGTCGCAAAGTTCGCATTGGGCTCTTTAGAGGTGCACTTTTGGACTTGTATTTTTCGAACATGGATTCATGGTTCGATGACATGGCAATGGGAGGTTCGATGAGTTGACATCCTAGGTGACACACACGTAACATGTGGGTCACTTCGTCATGCGTGACAGTTGGTTCAGTTGGATGTACGCATGACATCTGCATGGCTGGTGAATAGGTATAATGAATGGACACTACATTTCATGGTTTAATCTAGGCCGTTGGATCATGAAATAGTACTATCCAATGGTTAAGACGAATCAGACCAAGTGGTGCACCAGTTCATGAAATGTCACACACTCATTCAATGAGACATTTCGTGTGACATTTCAATATCTATAACTAGAGACCTCCAGATTAGTTTTTCAACACTGAAAATCAACTAAAACTACTATTGATTTCTAAATTCGTTCTCTCTCCATATTCTGCAAAAATTCTTTCATATATATTTGTGGTTATTCCGTTCGAGTACTATCATTTTTTGATTCGACCGACAAGGTTGGTATTGTGCAGTATCGACTTTGAAATGAGCGTTGTATCTTGAGAGATAGACGTCCATAATCCTTTTTGCACTTTATTGGGGGGGCGAAATCTGTTTTAAGCAGATTTTCTTTGGCATACCTCACTTCATTTGCTGAATTTCATTTTCTGTTCATTTTATTTATTCTTTAGATTGAGATAGTCGAACTTCCGACAGCAGACATATGTTACTGTTTATTATAATGATTATTTTTTCATTGTGATTTATGAAGTTTATTCTTGATTGTGCTATTTATTATGGCATTAATAGTGGACTTCTACCTTCGGGCATCCTTAGATATACTTGATTTGTTTTTATGAAGTGTGACCAACTCTTGTTGGAGAGCAGGGTTATTGTTTTTATGATGATTTATAATTATTTTTTTGGGTTCCCTATAAAGTTATTTCTTGATTGTGCCATTTATGTGTCATTAATAGGCATTTTTGTTTAGCATCATTCTGCAGTACATTCTGTTCTCGTGTATTTTCTTCGCTCTTTAGACTAGAGTTCTTTTGTGAAGTTTTTACGAAGTGTCAACTCTGGTGTGAATGTGTAAATTTATCTTTTTGGGTTCTTTATTCTTTCTTCCTGTGCTATTTATGTATGGTGTTAGTTGATGTTCTTAAAGCATCATTCAGTAGGGAGTTCCTTTTCATGCCTGTTCTGAGAAACTTGTGCTTTAACTATTTGTCACCTTCCCTTCTAACAGGAACTTGAAGAACAACTAGTAATTTTTAAAATCTCTGTAAGACCTCATTTTTTATAGTAGCACTTGGTTCCAAATCATCATAACTAAAAGAGGTGAAATATTATTTCTTCCTTAATTTTATTTGTTTTTTAATCTAGTATTTAGTTGCTTCGCACATTCATTATGCGGTTCACTGGCGGATCCACATGGGGTCATGTGGGGTCAAATGACCCCACAATTTTATTTTATTTTTTGAGTTTTCCTCTTTTTGAGTTTTTTTTTACCTAAATAATTTTGAATTCTTATTTTTGACCCCACAAGAAAAATGGTCTCGGTCCGTCCCTGTTGCGGTTGTGTGAGATTATAACTTTTACATTGACTTAGTGGCAGCCCGACTATGTTGGTAACTTCACAATGGTTCCTACAAAATGAGTTATTTAACTTACAATTTTATTAGAGAAATGTTATTCATCCCTACTGGGGATGCATCCTCAGTCTATGTGGCGTTAATGTGGCATTAAATGATAGGTGAAATTAAATAAGTCATTTAATTTACATCCACATAGATTGGGGATGCATCCCCACTGGGAATGAATTAGCATTTTTCATTTTATTATGTCTCTAAGAGCATCTCCAAGAGACTCTTTAAATATGAGATGCTCTCTATTTTAACAAGTTAACATTTAAAATCATGTTCCAAGCGACTCTTTAAATTAATATTTTAATTTAGAGAACGGGTTTGGAGAGCCAAACTTTATGATTAAATGCATTCAAAGTGTTTCAATTTTTAATGTATGAAAACAATAAAATAATTT